TTTCCGGTTTTTAACTCGGAAGTATTTAGGATTCTCAGTGCCGAGAGACTGGCCTCCCTCTCTATTAGAATTGGGAAGGGCGGTATGCCTACCAGATAACAGCATGAGTTTACTCACTTCCATCTAAACAGTATGAACTCATTGCTGTGAACTCTATAAGGTTAGTGAGAAACACCGTACATACAGTGAGATTCATAGTTAGTTTTGAAATAAATGTTTAGCTGCAGTGTACTCATTTGATTTCAAATATGGCATTGATATACTCTTTCCAAATCAAGTCAAGCGAGTGAAAAATGCTGTTATGAAAAGCAAGTCGAGCAATCGAATGACACTCATTGACTTCAAACAATTAGTAGAGAATACGACAATTTTGAAAAAAAAAGATATTGATGAAGTATTTTTTTAAATATTTTAGTTTTACTAAATTATTTAGTTATGCACCTGACGTACATTTATATAACTAGTCTACAAAAGAAATGCAATGTTACCTCAGAAGACATCGGCATTATAAGGGACTTGAAAAATAAGTTTTCTTTATTATTTAAAAACAGTTGCTGTTGAAAACTAACAGATTTACAAAAAATTGTGCTTCTTTTTATACCCGCCAGCAAAAGAGCTCAAGAACTTTACTGAATCTGAGCAAAGGTACACAAAAGAGAAATGTTTACAAATTATCAGAATGTTAACTGAGAATTCTGACAGTACAACGGAACCACAAATTGCGGATACACCTTTGTTACCTTCAGACAACTTTGAGCTGTTTTCAGGTCTTCTTAAACAACCTACCTTTGTGAGCAGAAGTGATAAAGCTACTGCAGAGCTGCGGCGATATGAAAATATTGGGGTATTTTTTCATACGGACTTCGATATAATTAATTGGTGGGAGGTACACAAATGCGAAATGCCGCTGCTGCATAAACTCAGTCGTAGAGTAACAGCCACTCCTTCAACTAGCGCATCGTCAGAAAGAGTTTTTTGTTCTGCTGGAAATGTTATTTCTGACAAAAGATGCCACCTTTTGTCAAATGATGATGCCCTTAATCAGTTGATATTTTTGCATTATAATATGCAGTTAGGAAACCAATAAAATTAACAAAAATTGTCTTTACAAATGTTTTTTCTTTGATGCTTTCATTACAGCAGTTATGCCATGCACTTGGTTTTCAAATCAAGCACTTGTTATTTGAATCGAGCACTTGATAGTGTGAATCATGATAAAAACATAGCAAGGTAGAACCGTTTTCTCAATTTGTCGGCCATGATTTTTTTTGAAGTTTGCCAACATTTTAAAATTATATGAAAATGAAAATAAAAAATTGAAACTGTTCGAAATTGTTATTGCTTGAGATTGAAAATTAAAATGTGTGTGTGAGTTTGTGAGTGAATTTAAAAATTAAATTGTTTGGAAACGTCAAGAATTTAAAAAAAGACTCTCAGCGGTTCTACCTTACTATATTTTTATCATGGTGTGAATTACTCACTCAACCGACAATGTTTTTTCAATGCTATCACACGTTATGTTTGGAAATAAATGAGTGCGAGTGTGTGCGGATGTGCAAAGAAAGCGAGTGACTTAAAATGTAATTTGAGTGTATCCATGCAGTTCTCGGATGCCTACAAGAGCACTAAGTGCATCAGCAGGACAGGTCCGCATAGCCCCTGTTATACCAATGCACACCATTCGGTGCAGTTTGCTAAGTTTTGCGCTAGCAGTTCTTTGTGTCGCTTTTGTCCACCATGCCAAGGATGCATAGGTGACTACCGGCTTCACAACTGTGTTGAATAACCAGTAAGTCATTTTGGGGGAGAGTCCCCATGTCTTCCCGTAAAGTCGCGTGCATGCGAAGAAGGCTCTTATTGCCTTGTTTACGGTTGCATCCAAATGTAAATTCCAGGTGAGTGTCTTATCCAGCCACACCCCCAGGTATTTTGCTTCATTTGAGAGCTCTATTCTAGTGCCGCCCAGAGTAAATTCTGTCATGGATAACTTTTTCCTCCGGGTAAACGGAACCAGAGTAGATTTAGTAGGATTAATGGATAATCCTTCGGTGTCACACCATCTTTGCGTAATGCGCAGGGTTTGTTGCATGCGGTTGGAGATCGTTTCGCCATGCAGCCCTGTTACACAAATTACCAGATCGTCTGCATAGCCTTGCGTTTCAAAGCCATGGTGGTTCAGTAGGAAGAGGAGTCCGTCTATAACCATAGTCCACAGAAGAGGAGAGAGTACACCCCCTTGAGGGCAACCTCTTGTGGCTGTAATAGATTCTTCCGTGCCTCCCAGCTCCATCCTGATCTTCCTTGTTTTTAGCATAGAAAGCACCCAATTTATTATGATGGGGCTCACTCCCTTGCATATCAGGGCATCTCTTACTGCCCTGTATGACGTGATGTCAAAAGCCCCTGAAATGTCAATGAAGGCACAAAGGGCTATGTTCTTAGACTCCAGAGCCTTTTCGATTTTCGATGTAAGGCTGTGAATGGCAGTCGGGTCATTGTCATACCCACAATATGCAAAGCAAATAGCAAATCTGGAAGTGGGACCAAATAATATATTCGTATACATCAAACGTGAATTCAGAGTTGACTCTAACTTCTATTGTATCTAATTGTTGATACGAGTACATAATCATTATTGGGCGCGTTTCTAAGACGTAGCTGTTGCTAAACTGTTGAGTGTTTTTTTCAGAAACGCACAGCTCAACGGTTGGCAACTTTACGCCATTTTTTCCATCATAAAATTATTTCGCTATATGAAGTCAAGGCGAATTTATATAAGGTGGTGTTACTAGCTCAGCTGATTTTGTGTATGTGTTTCGCAGCACGGCTTCTGATATCGAACTGAAAAATTTTGTTTGAATTTCTACAAACACTCTTACAGATTTTGACTGTTTATGCCGCCAAAGCAAAAACAAAATACATGTAAATTTTTGTTTTTGTACTCCTGCTATCACCTTATATTAATTCGCCTTGTATGAAGTCAACAATTTATATACAGTGACGAGCAAAACTGTAACATGGTTTAACACTTTTTGTTTCAGCCACCGCTATATTTCCAAGTTCTAACGACTTTCATACTTTTGCTGTATATCATGAAAATCCAGGGTTGCGAAGTGGTATTTTGTTGGAAAATATAAAAGCCAGGATTTTGTGCAGCGCCGAATTTTAACAAAAGAGGGTTTTGTGTGATCAAGATGAACAGAAAAGGGTTGCTGTGCTGTTTCGTTTTAAGCTTATTTTAATCTTAACGTATCTAATTAAATATTAAAAGGAGACAAAAATTAAAGCAAAAATTTAAAATATATGTACATATCTGAAAATTTTAAATAAAATATATATTTTCACGAGAGACAAAGTAAATAAAATGGGTTAAATTTAGGGGAAATATACTTATCAGATTGGGTCAGATAGCGCTTTTACGTTATAAGTAAAAATAATTCCTACTTAAATATTATATAGTTTTGGTGACGTATTTCCAGGCTGACCTTGAGATCTGTGAAATAATACATATTTATGTGCATATATTGTGTTGATTATGCTCCAAATCGCTAAATAATTCTTGCAGCAATCGGCACCATTGGAAATTTTCGGAAAGTAGAAATAAACTAAATTTAATTTATTCAATTATGAATAAAAGAAATTGGAGACAAACGTACAATTGGGACGATGTTTTCCGCATCCGCAAACGAATGTTTGTTTGATGAATTAGGTTATTGGCCTGGCATCTAATGAAGCATTATCGTCATGATTATTATCGTCAGATTACCGTCTGCATGCCATGCCAGCTGTCGTCCCATACCTCTTCCCGGGTGAACGTTCGCACACATTCGCCTGAAGATGTATCGCAAATTCTTAACTTGTCGCCGCACGATGCAATTAACTGGCCATTAGGGCTGAATTTTGCTTCGCACACCCAATTTGTGTGTCCAGTGAAAGATGTATATTTTGAATCAGTATTTTGATTGCCGTCCGCAATTTTTCCAGTCTGCAAACGAATAAGCTGACGAAGATGCAAACAAATTCAAGCACATTGTTACATTCTACTGTACTTTTTAAAAACTTTAAAATCTTATAACATATGTGAAAAACTTTTATAATATGAATATTTCTAAAGTCGAAATCAAAAGGAAATTTTACAAATAGCATTTTTAAAAAACAATCATCTAATATTTTCCAAGTTTTTGGGCATATATGTTACCATTTGAACAACAAATAGTACTAAGTTTTATAAAACTATTTAATGCAACTCAGGTCAAAAAGGCACAGTTTTGACCAAAATAAGCAACTCTAAAAAACAGATGATCGCAGCTGTGGCCCAGGATGACGTCTATTGCTGAGATATCTCACTTGTATTTATACAAAATGATGCACATGCAACGAAAAGTACATTTGCTTTCATATAACGAATAAACAATTTATTTTTATATGGAAGAAAACCGCCAAACCCTCGGCAAAAAAATTCTAAAACGAAAATTTTTAGCCACTTGAAACTTGCTTTTTATCCTACCATTATTATACTAGATTTGAGAAAATCTATTTAAGCTCGACATTTTAACGAAGGTTTGTTAATTTTTTTTTAATATCACTTAAAGTTTCGAACATAGATTAATATGGGTTTTGTTAAATAATGAACCATATTAAAAAAAATTCCTCAAATTAAATAACAAAAAAACAATAATTGTGAAAACTGGTCAAAATTTGGGTCTACAAAAGTTTTTTACACCACTGTATGTATGTAAATATTATATGAAAATTTTTTATTCCTTATTTGTTAATTAACTTTACATTTACATTTAAAAATAAAATAAACTGAAAGGCCAACAATAAATAAAATAAGGAGATATCTATAGGCGGTGAATTTTACGAAATTTCGCTACAACAACAACGAAATTTCGGACAACATTTATTGTCGAAATCGGGGAATTATCAAAAGGAGATGGCTACCCTGGCACGTACATTGGTTCGTCCAATTTTTATTGCCTCCACCTATTGTGAACGAGCATTTTCGGTAGTAAACAAAGTGTAGAGAAATATTTGCAAAATGTTGACTTCTATGGTAAAAGAATACCAAGTAAAACAGGCCAAACGAAAACAGGAGCAAGGTAAATAAATAGGGGTCATTTTGTAAAAGTACATACATATTTTTATTTTCCGATTAATCCTCCAGAATTACGGCGCAAAGATGTTATAGAATCATCAAATGAGCTCACACAGGCTATAGTGGACCACTTGAATGTTGGGTATGTGTTGAATTTAAAAAATTTTATATTTTTAATATTTTCCATACGATTTTCCTAGTGTGGCACAAGCATATTTGAATCAGAAGCGCTTGGATGCCGAAGCGAAGCAGCTGCATGTGGGCGCCACCAATTTCGCCAAACAGACGCAGCAATGGTTGCAACTTATCGATAATTTTAGCAGCGCGTTAAAGGTACGTATTCTGTTGCCAATTGAATAATGGTATTTAAACTTAAACAACCCCTTTTATATTTTGGCCGATGAAATAGGAGCTAGGCGACGTAGAGAATTGGGCGCGCAGCATAGAAAGCGATATGCAAGTTATACAAAGTACTTTGGAAATAGCGTACAAGACGTCACGACAAACACAACACAATAGCACTAATTAAAAGTTGGGCAAGGGTTTTTACAAATGCATTTAAATATAACCAATTGTTGCTGAAATTTTACAAGCAGTATGATTTTTCTTTGAGGAAATTGAAAGCCTGTAACTTTTACCCGGGGAAATACACACTTTCACTGTTGGCAAAATTATTCCAACTTACCCAATCATTGATCTACTGCAATTACTATGCTTTTAGTTGTAACATACATTTAAATACGTATCGCCAGTTTAGAGTGAAAAGTTTCTTAGTCGACGCCTTATGAAAACTCATATTTTGATATAGAAAACAAGATAAACTAAAAATGCATCGGTTCGAAATGGATTAAGGTACTTGTTTTATTTTTTTGCTTATTGTCAATGCATATATGAGGTCCAAAAAAGGCACCGAAAATCCGACAAGGCCAATTTAAGACTGAAATATTTTAATAAAGATCGAATACTTCAGATTTTGTTTTACCCGCAAAATGTTGATTACAACATACTTGGAAAAAATGGATGCGAATAGTTGTTTTCCTCTCCTGTAAAGTTTGTAAAAATGTAGATAGTATATTTTCACTCTAAGCTAGCGATATACATATATACAAAAAATTGTACCCGTTTGTGTCTTCTTTTATTCAAAACGTATTAGTAAACATTAAAACTAATTAAAGTACAAATAAACAAAAGTTGCAAGTCTCGCAATTTTTATATAATACATATATAAAAATAGGCGCGAAACGTCTCCCCCACAATTATATATTTTATATTATGTCTAGTGAGCATACATACATACATTTAAGAATAGTAATATGAATTAGGCAATGCAAGCGTGATTACATCAAAACATTTAGCTGGCTTGCGGTTTCCAGTTGTTGAATTAGAAAACTGCAATGCTACTACTCTATATACTACTAAACATAAAGTGAGAGACGGTAGTGCTTGTAAATCATCAAATGAAATATGTTAATTGTTAAAAACTATGATAATCAAAAGATAATAGAACGATGTAAATAAGCCGTAATAGTAAAGAAATTAAACTGAAGCCAAAATTTAGGCGATATAATTCATTCGTGTTGTTGAACACTTTTTGAATGCGACAATTTTAAACGTACATTTTATTTCATGTACATACATAGCATTTGACGGGTAAGACGCATACGGTATGTTTTGTAATGCGTCTTGAGAGAAAATGTTGAATGAAAAATTAACGATGCGGAGATATGGAAATATTCGATGCCAGTTCGCCCGCAATTCTAATATAATTTAATCGTAAGCTGATTATGCATTTTGTGTAGTTTTGCTTTTGTTGTATTATGCAGTATAGTGAAAACTTGTGATTTTTTCTTTGCCTATTTTTACATTATATCCATTCAAAAATGTAGGCAACTATAACTTGGCGACACAACTACTACAAATATATATTACTAAAGTGGGTGTTTTTTCTTCTTCTGCGAATAATGTTATCAGTTTTATTTTGTTCCGTCAGCACATTTTTAATAGCGTGTACGACCTAAAATAGAGAAACAAGCAAATGAAGCGTTTTAAATGAAATTGTTGCTGAATAATATTAACATTAAATTTACGTACGCGGTGAATAGGAACGACTTCGGCTACGGTCATATCGACGTCTGCGATCGCTGCGGTAACTGTTTCGACTCTTATGAGGTGAAACCGACCGACGGCGGGAGCGATGGTCGTCACGATAACGATCATGATTTTCACGCTCACGCCTATGCAAATACATAACGAAAAATGTATCAATTGGACAAACCCTATTAGTAATTGTAATACATACCGTGAATTTCGTCCCATGTAAACGCCCGGTGTAGGTGTGTGTGGTCTTTGTGTTGTTGAGTAATCGACACGTATACGACGATCATCAAGTTCCATACCTGAACATGCTTCTTTAGCTGCTTTAGCATCGTTTTCATTTTCATAGTAAATAAAACAAAATCCTCGAGATCTGCCGGTCTGTGAAGGTAGATGTAAGCGTTAACGGAATTATTTTAAATGTGTAACAAAACTAGTTTGCATTTTGCTGATAATTGTATTGGAGAGCCTTTAGTGTTTGTGGGCACGAATCTTTGGCCCACCACTCATAATCTCCAACTTTATTGCATTTGTCTAGCCATTACTCATATAATTAACAAAATGCTCACGATTTGGTAACACATATCATGTTCAATGGCTACTTTACGTGCTTTTATATATACTCACTTGTGCATCAATAACGACTTGTATTCTTTCGATTGGACCAAATCTGGAAAATATTTCGCGAATTTTCTGTTGGGTTGTGTACACACTCAAACCAAATACCCCTATGCAGCGATTCTGTACAGGCTTTTCCTGCTGATGAAAATTTATTAATAATATACATATACATATACATATTTGAAATACCCTATTTCCACGGCGCTTATCGTAAGGGCTGCGTGTACGTGAACGGGAATAGCGGCGGCCATGTCGTGGGGAGAGTGACCTTTTAACATGCAAAAAGAGGTAAAATTCAAGTATTGAAATTTTGCAAATCAGGATAATATAAATAATTTTTGAAAGAATTATTCGTATTGATTTCTGTATTCTTCTTGTTCATTTAATTTTGCGCGCTCAACTTGATTTTATGAGTTCATTCTAAATCTTTTGGTTTTGGAGTGTGCTTGGAGTTCGTATTTGAAACAGACTTGACAGTTTCAAAATCGAGTTCGATTCAGAAGTTCGACTCAATTGCTAAACTTGCGTTTCTGCGAATGACTGGATTATTTTGAAATGTGTTCTATATTCAGATTGAAAGCTGTGTTCGGTTGTTCTGTCCATATTGCGCTGCAAAGGCTTGGCTATCGAACTTGCGCTTCTGCTTCAAAGAAAATTCTTTTAACTCATTAATAGAACGTTTGAAGTGTGGAATTTTCATTTTCGATTCAGTCCTGATTGAAAATTTTGGAATCTTACTTTGTAATTACGCTTCTCATTATTTGAGTTCTTACGGATTTTCGCTACAACTTCACTATTCTGAAACAGAAGAAATAACCACCACGTTATCGAAAGCTTACTTTGTAAATGCATGGCTTAAAATTATTGGACAACCCGTTATCGAAAAATTGCCGCTCAGACCATGCCGACTGAAGCTAGTACCTACATGCATATAATTAGGCGTAAAACCCTATTAGTTAATCTATATACTTAAAAATAATTGGGTTTTCATGCACTTCAAATAATTCGTACCTAAAGCCTTACTTAAAATACTTTGTGAAACTAGGAACTTGGCCATATGTACAAAAATAGAATGTGTTACCATGACAACGGCTAACGCGTTAAGTTATACATTTACAAGCTGAAAATAAGCTCCCACACTTCATTAAATACAATTGGGGTACTGAAATAATAGCTTTTTTTCGTAACTTACGTAGAACTTTTACTGGCGTCCGAGTACCGTCCGCCTCGTCCTGCCGGCAGCGGCGGTGGAGAAGGCGGGTGTCGTGAAACTGAACGGCTACGAGATTTGTAATTTTTCTCTCTAGAATGTCGACTACAGAGAATACAGTAAATATTACTATATCAATGAACCCTTAAATTGGAAAGTGAAAATAGCACTTACCGGCGTCCATTGGTGCGCCGCACTGGTGACTTGGTATAGCTTCGACGTGGGGAAGCACTGCGGCTACGTGAACGTGGACTCTGCAATTAGCATTTCAAAAATAAATGTACATTCAGCTAACTTTTTTCGATCTTCTAGACAGGAACTTTTGGATGTGTGCGTTATTAAGTGAGGTTATGTTAAGATTTCGAACCATAACTTTTGTGCTTAAACTTCGAAGAATTACAACTCATTTGCTATCATATCAAAAATCTTGCGTAGGAATGATTATCAGTACATCATTATACGCGGGAGCAACAAAAAGCGTTGGTAGGAAAAAATACGACCAACATCTGCATCGAATATCCGAGTAGCCCGGATGAGCCTTAGATATTTTAAAACTTTATACTTACCATTCCAATCCTTCGAAATTGTTTACTCACTAAATTTCAACAAATTCCACGGAAAAAAAAACAATTTTTCGGGGTTTTCGGTAATTTTCACAAAATTTGCCGCTGAATGAAATGAAAATGCCCGCTTGCTGTATATATAAAAGTCACAATAAAAATGGTTCCAGAAAGACGTTCACAATGATGTTTAGCTGCAGGTTGCCAGGTTACATGTGAATTCAATAATA